TCTCGTACCAGAAGATTTTTCTCGTCTGAATCCATCTTGGATATTTACAGATCTAACATTTGTCTGTGCATTGAATGCTATTGTCATCGTCTGGTGCTCCTATGGTACATCCCGAGCTTCTTGACAAAATCCAATGAAGAATCTGAAATGTAATTCTCACAGAAGGGATGTGACTTCCGTTTGTCCAAATATTTCCATGGCAGCTGCTCTAACGAGCTTTTTCCCCTGATGGCTCGATTTTTTTAAGCGTTTCACCCCAAGCAAGTCGGGAAGCCACTAGGACGCAAGGGGTTACTGAAAATTTGGAGCAAGATCAGATAGGAGTGATAGAAGAAAGGATGAGGAGAAGGGTAGTGGATTGATCAAGGCAACTGGAGATACAGAGGCCAGTGAGAGAGAGAGAGAGAGAGAGAGAGAGAGAAAGAGAGAGAGTGCTATCTGAACCCCTTCCTAAACAAGAAACAAGGCGTAAGCCTCTACTCATGTCCAAGAGAAGGGGGAGGAGAGTTTTTTTTTAAGCGTTTCACCCCAAGCAAGGCGGAAAGCCACTAGGACGCAAGGGGTTACAGAAAATTTGGAGCAAGATCAGATAGGAGTGATAGAAGAAAGGATGAGGAGAAGAGTAGTGGATAGATCAAGGCAACTGGAGATACAGAGGCCAGTGAGAGAGAGAGAGAGAGTACCGGAAACCCCTTCCTAAACAAGAAACAAGGCGTAAGCCTCTACTCATGTCCAAGAGAAGTGGGAGGAGTGTTGACCTGGCGGTAGGAAAGCCTACCTACTCCTATTGAATTTAAGCTTGCTAATAGATTGAAAACTAGGTTCCACTCTTTTACTGCTGAAATATCTAAATGCTACCGCCACTTCTACTCCAACAGTTTCTTTTCTCGCACTTCCTGCCTGTGGAATTCTCTTCCGTTTACTTACTTCCATGGTAACTAAAATCTTTAAAAATTTGAATGTAACATCAATCGCTTTTTTCTGTCTTCTTGAATCCCGTTCATCTTTTCTCCTTTCCTCAATTTTCCCTATTCTCAGTTTTCTCTTTCACTTTCACTCCTTGTAACCCCTTATGCTGTAGTGGCCTGGGGTGAAATGATTTAAAAATGTAAGTAATGGCTATGTGATTGATGTCGTTTGTCTTGAGAAAAAAAACGGTTGGACTGCTATTCAACGCGACAAAACGAATGCTTTTCATTGTTATTTATTTTTTATTCTTATTTTTTCTTTAAATGCATTGGAAATAATGGAAAGTATGGCTGTCAGTTGTAAGAAATTGAGGCAAGTATTGCTGACAGAATAAGGCTTTTAAATAATGTGTATGGAAATAGGTAGATATATAGAATATACCATCTTAGAAAAACTGACGACCTATAAAAACGCCTAAAAATGGTTTTAAAAATCACTACGCATCTTATATGTTAATTTTATCTCGAACACATACCACAGGCGATCATTTCTATCTAACTCGACATAATAATTCCCTTCCGGGATCCAACCAGAGTGCTAACGTCAGAAATGGCATCATGACATTTTCCACTGAATATTTTTATTCAAAATATGACCCAAGAACACACATATTTTACATTGATAAAGCCCTTCGTAAGGTATGAGCTGGACTTGTGAGAACATTTTTTTTGTAATTTCTTTAAAGCATGGGCGACCAAGGATCCCTTCATTGAAACTAGCAGAATATTTCTATTCAAACTCAAGGCCCCCAGGACAACTGGAATTATTTCCTGCCCCCACATCTTTTTTTTTTACATGTCCACTTCAAGATGTTGTATATGTAATTTTTTGAAGATCTTCAAAGATGCATTACAATCTGCAGGAACTGCTATGTCAATAAGAAAGCACATTCAGTTTTTGTAGCCTGTGGTTATTTGTCTGGGCGATTAACTTTGATTGTTCTATTTGTGTGTATTGTACAGACCCATAAAATTTCTTACAGACCCTATGTCTATTATCGGGCCTGGGTGGTGTTCATACTAATTTCTCGAGGTTTCCTTCCCATAAACGTTGCAGATTTTTCCAGTGCAGATATTGGTCTACCCAGAGTTTTACATTCAGTGGATTCTAATACCGTGCAACTCGATACAAGATTTTTTTGGATATTCATTACAGAAGCTGCATTTGAGATCAACACAGTTTATTATTATTATTATTATTATTATTATTATTATTATTATTATTATTATTATTCCTTTGATTTCTGGTGTGTACACATTTCTTTCTGGGTCCCGCCCAGAGACCTAAGGTTAGAAATAGCATCATGAAACTTTCCACTAACCACATGGCAAAGTGTGGTATCATTTAAAGGAGAAATTGTTTGTTCGATGTCAGAGTGTGGTATCATTTAGAGGAAAGATTTGTTTTGTTCTTTGTCAAAGTGTGGTATCATTCAAAGGAAAGATTTTTTTTGTTCCATCTGAAAGTGTGGTATCATTTAGAGGAAAGATTTTCTGTCCCATGGCAATGTGTGATATCATTTAAAGGAATTATATTTTTGTCCGATATCAAAGTGTGGAATAATTTAAAGGAAAATTTTTTCCATGTCAAAGTGTGTTATCATTTAAACAAAAGATTTTTTGTTCCATGGCAGAGTGTGGTATCATTTAAAAGAAAGATTTTTTGTTCCATGGCAAAGTGTGGTATCATTTAAAGGAAAGATTTTTTTATTCTATGGCAGAGTGTGGTATTTAAAGGGAAGGTTTTTACATTCTTTTTCTCTTGGGTTTTATAATTCCTTTTTTATGTCAGCATATTTTTATAAGGAACTGAAATATTCTCCTGTCTACTATATTGAACAGAAAAAAAATCTTTATAAAACATTCATTTAGAAATAATATATGTATAAAGTACACGATGGATATCGCCCCTTGGCAAGTCTTTCAATCCACCAAAACGGTCAATGAATTGTATCAATTAGAATCATGGTAGGTGGCGAGCAAGGTATTATATAAAGAAATCTACAAGTGTAAAATAAACTGTTAGTATAGAATATTGTTACATCTAGTCATTTCAACTGTAAAATGATAAGACCTAACCGCCAATCCAGTACTGCGTTTAAAGTCGTAAAATCGTGTAACCAAAGAGGAAAGCTTCTCTTATTTATCTCACAGTTATCACTTAAATATTTATAGAAAAGGTGCAGGCAAGCTACTTTAATGGCGGTGGGAAAGTGACTGAAGCCGAGATGCCAGGTCAGAACCGATAACATTGGAGAGTCTCATTTGAAAACATTATTAAGGAGAAAAGACACTAAAAGAAAAGGGTATAGAAAAAGCAGAAGACAACTATTTACAATGAATTTAAATTTTTGAAGGTTGAAGTTGACAAGAAAGCAAAGAGACGAAAGTGTGTGGAAGTGTAGCTGAAGAGTTCTAGAAATGGGGGGAAAAAATAATAAATAAAAATCCGAAGGTCAAAAGCTGCAAATCTGTAGGTTGTTGGTCAGAAATCTGTCGTTCCCAAACAGCAGAGAACATAGCAATATCCTTCCTGGTGTTCAGGGCACTCTGTAGAGATGTAAGTCGAAAAGTCAGTGATTGATAGAGGTGGCACAGAAATTTGCATGACGTTCTCTTTATAAAACGAGATGTCACGTGTGCCTTCAATTTTCACCGGATTATAACACACGCAACACGCTGTCACTGGGTTTGAAGAGATAAGTCGGCATTTTCTTCAGCGCAGGAAGTCATCACTGCAAAGGAACATCAGAGTTTAGTTCTTTAGAGCAGCTGTAAAGAGAAAATCGTCCTATACGGATCAGGTTCATGAATTGTCCCCGTTGCCCTTCATAAAACGTTAGATAATGCCTACGCAAAAATACTTTCGACCAGAACAAAATATCAAATGACATCATGAAATTATTAATGAAAACTCGATAGGGACCTGCTAAAAATACCAAAAACCATTGCGGAGGAAGGTACGGTCCTTAGGACATTATTGGTGCATCAAACAGGAAGTTATTCACAAAGGTATACTGTGATATCATGTTCATGTAAAACGGAATGTTTCATACCCTACCCGAATATCGACCAACTTACAAGTCGCGGAATAGACTAGCTACTGAAAGCTATAGAAGCTCGTCAATTATGGATTGGTTTTGGGATGGATGTCCTGACTGAGGTCAGCAATGGGATTGGATGAGCTGACCTTAAACATACGCATGGAAGAACAACTAGAAGACAGCTGATGAAAGTTGAGGTCCAGAGCGAAGATTTATCAGCCCTTTAGCGGGTTTTTTTTATATAACCCTGCTGGGTGTCTAGCCTACCTATTCACACTGAAATATTAGACAAACGAATTGATGAAAGCAAAAAAAGAAGGGATTAAAAAATGAATTATAAGAAAATAGAATGCATGATTGCTAGCAAAAAGGGAATACTCATCATATGTATTTACACATCGGGGATACCAAAATTAAATTTAGGTATTTAGTTAGTAGAGTAACAGCCGATATTATGACACAGACATTCGACGGTTCATGGGAATGGCGAAATCTGTTTTGTCAATAACTGAAGAACATATTAAAGCGACGAAAATTAAATGAATGCTGGACTGCTTATATGGTATCTACGCTTTCAACTTGTTAATGAAGATGAAAAAATTGACAAATATATGGTTGTACCGAAGAATGTTGCGAATACCATAGATATCGCATGTGATAAATGAGGACTTTTTAAAACAGAATATGAACTACAAAATTGCTTCCAATCAAAAAGGCACGGCTGAAATATTTAGGACTTATAATAAGAAATTGCTTGATCGAGTCGTTCGTTTTATATGGCTTAACACATTACAGATTATTTACAGCCAGAACATATTTTTTCAGTGTAAGAGTTTTTTTTTTTGAATTAATAATGATTTCGTCTTGCTATTTAACCCATAGCTGGGGGAAAAGAGGTGGTTTGATGCGCGTAAGTGAAGATAACGAAACTAACGATTAACAATTCTGTGTCATTATCCATTCCACCACTTGTACATTCATCCACCCTTACAGTACCCATTCTTACCAAGCGGCCACTTATCTAGGTACTGACCAGCCTCAACATTGCTTAACTTCGGTGATCGTAAGTGAACCGGCATTTTAACGTACTGTGGTCGTAATTTCTTTACGCCACTCGCACATCCATTCTCACAACACCTGGTATTCCCAAGCGGTCAGATATCTAGGTACTGACCAGGTTAGACGTTGCTTAACTTCGGTAATCCTACTGGAATCGGTATTTTAACGTGCTGTGACCGTAACCCCTTTACGTCACAAGCACATTCATGTTTACAGCATTTGGTATTCTCAATTTAGGTAATGACCAGCTAGACGTTGCTTAACTTCGGTAATCGTAAAGGAAACCGTGTTTCAACTTACTGTGGACGTAGCCTTTTAAACCACCTGCACATCCATACACATATCACTTGGTATTTTCAAGCGGTAACCCAACTATGGAACAACCTATCTCGACGTTGTTTCAAGATAATATGTCTGTCAGCCCCTTACTCGCATATATAAACTTACAGGAATTCCGAAGCAGTCACCCATCTAGGCACTGATCAGGCACGACGTTGCTTAACTTTCGTGATCATATAGGAACCAGTGTTTCAACATGATATAGCCGGAAGCTTAAGAGATAGGAAATTTTCAAGAGAAACAAAGACAATATGTCCTAAACTACTGTGTCACATCTAATCCCTGATGTGAATTCTGGACAATTTATCCACAGATAAACTGGAAGCGACAGATACGGTTCTACTGATGAATGCAGAGAATAACATGAACTTAACATATGGACAATGTGGAAGTCTGGTGGAAAATAGGATATACAAGGAATTTCATACTTACGGTTAGAAAGAGACAGTGATGTAGGTCTATTGTTGAATGCAGAGAATAGCATGGACTAAACATGTGAACAATGAGGAATTTTTTAAGGAAAATACGAACTACAAGGAAGCTTATATTTAGAATCTGAAAGAGAATGTTGAAATATATTGTGGAAAGAAGATGTGGAGAATTTGACACTCACGAAAATGAAGGTTATGCTGAGAAAGTGAGGAACTTTCTGGACGCGTTTTTGTGAACGGTTTGCAGAACCAGGACAAAGAGAAATGGTAAAAGATCAAAAGACAGAACGATGAGGATAGTCATCATGATCGCCCGAGACCTGAAACGGCATGGCATATAAAGAGAAGCAAATATAACAGTTCATGTTAACCTAAACAGAAAGAGATAACAGCGCCAATTATTACCTAAATCGATACTAATTTTGAAAAACAATATTTGAAGGTTTTACTGACAGATTATTGGCTTCGGTTTTCCTCTTGAACCAACATTTGCCAAATATCCGGAGCATCTGATAACTTTTTATTTATTTCTGGGTAGTTCTTCTTACAGAATATAAATTAGACCTTCTTTTATTTACGTGATGTGTACGTTAAATGTCCCCCCATCTTCTCTTTCTATCTCGCTCTCTGTCATCAACCTTCTGGGTGTGGGGTGTCATGGCTCTCCACAACTTTCTAACTTTTGCTGTTTTTTCCTTTTATGACCCATTTATTCACATTCTGATATTTGTTCCGACATCTATTTCCTAAGACTTTTCATGAACGAGTAAGTAATGGATAGCGGCTTGGATTGAGGAAGCGGAGAGCCGAGTTCGAATTCCAGTCGAATCCATTACATTCACTTACGTACTAATACCCTTGGGAAACGTGTGAATCCTCTTCTTCTCTCTCCAGCTATGGGTAAATAGCAGGACAGACTGGGTTCTATAGCCTTGGATGGCAACTGGTCTAGGAGAAGGAAAACTCTGAATTCAAACCTGCTCTTAGAGGAGGGTGAATGGAGTCTCTCTCAGCCTTGGTTGGCAATCCATTTAGTGTTGGTGTCACGATAAAAAAACACCCTTGATAGCCCTAGCGAAGCATCAAGAATTCAGCTATTTGACAAGATTATGAACTACACCAATCAAAGTATTAGCTATGACAGATAAGGAATACTGGAAAGGTGTAGTGAGTTCAATCTCGGCTGAGGCCGCAGGATGATGATGATTTCATCTACTATTTTTTTTTTTACTTCAACATGTCCCTTCAGGATATAGGCGATCATAGTTCTCCACAACTTCCCTTCAGTTGTAACTCTTAGTAAATTTGGTCTTTTTACTATCCATTCAACAATGTTTTTATCCACCCATTTACTCAACTATTCCTTTCTGCCCCACAAGTCTTTTTATGTTTTGTGAGTGTCAAATTTTCTAACCCTTCTTTCCTCATATTAAAATTTTCAGAAGGAACGGTCTGGAGTATTTAACACTCACAAGGTGTTAAATATTACAATCCTTCCTTTCTCATTATATGGTTGCGGTCAGATCTGTTGAGTTAAGCAACGACGATCCTACTGAGCGCTTAGGAATATCAAGTGCTGTAAGCTTGGATGCGTGGGTGGTGCAATGGATAATGGCTTGGAATTGGCAATCGAAGAGTGCCGATTCTTGTCGGGTTCGTTATATTCTATTATGCCGAAATACCCTTCGGAAATGTATGAATTCACCTCTTCTCCTCCCAGCTATGGGTTAATTAGTATGACTTCTATCACTAAACCATTATTATTTCCAAAAAATTCTTACAATGTAAAAAAAATATTTTATGGTTTTAAATAACCTGCAAAGTGTTGATAAGCCGTAAAAAATGAATGTATGAACAATATTTTAATACTTTCTGAAAGGCAACTCTCGGTATCTCCTGTGTGCGTTCGAATTTATGTATCACACTTCCTATTGCCTGTTATAAAACTAACAAGACAGTTAAACTTGTGCAACTAGAAGATTTTGGCGCCCCTAAAATGTAGCTCACAGATTGGGTTGTATTTTTTTTCTAACCATTCATTCTGTCTACTTTCAGTTATTAAAGAGTGTTCCAAGAACTTGGACCAATTTTTAAATGTGAATTAAATTCAAGCGTTTAATGATTTTTTTTCTTTTGCTTTCAGATTTGGCGGACATTTGGGTGATATTATTTTTCACACATAATTGTCACGGCGTAAATAACATGATCCAATAGAGAAATAAATAAATTTTAACCAATAACACTGATTTATTTACTACTGACTTTGATCCGCCTTAATGAAACACCCTTAGTTCTTTGTTCATTTTTTTGCTATCATTTACTCATTTAAAAGTTATTTTTTTTTTCAATTTTCTTTCTGAGTCTGACATCAACACCGCATCATCTGCGTATCCTATACAGTTAAACTTATGTCCGACAATAATAAATCTTTGTACATCTTTTAGTTCTCTTGGGGCCGACGTAGAAATTAAATCGAAACCCTATCCAAGGTAATTGAATATAATTAATTTAGTTAATTGATATCCATCATTTAACTGTGGTTATTTATTATAATTATCTCTAACGTTATTAAATTAAAAATTTTTTATGTATATATATATATATATATATATATATATATATATATATATATATATATATATATATATATTTAATTCCTAACTGTGCTTGCACATATAATTACTGGCATGTCGCCATATTTATGTTTCAAACATGTCACGCAATGTGAAATACGCACGAATCTTCTTATTAAATACGATACGGTATTTCGGTTCTTCATCGCCAGTAATCACGAATCTAGCTATGTTCGAGCTACTATACAACTGATTATAAACAAACAGGAAGTTAAACACTGTGCGCACAAGGATACTGAAGAGCAGTTTAGAAATATAAAATCACTGCAGATAAAAATACTTTATTTTTTTTAAGTAGATTAACTTTCGACGGAAAATATCAGATATACGTAAAAAAACACCGCTTTAACTATAGTAACATTTCTAAGCCAACTAAATTTATTGACCAATCATAAGCGTTAAAACTTGGCAATGACAATTTATTATATCGGAATAAAGTGTCGCTGCCGACACTGGAGTTTGAACATAGATCGCCAGTGTGCAAACACAGGCGATCCCATTTTGAATAAGTAGATCATGTGATGGTAAAGGAAATGTATATATGGGAATTAGAGTGGCGTCTGATTGATCACCATTTCTATTCTATCCTCTATTATAATACGGATCGCTATTCTCTAAACTATTCACTATAGTATGTCTATAAGGATCACTATTCGGTGGTTACATTTCGAGCGAATATTATCGAGCAAGTACTATTAGTGCGAGTGATATTTGAAGGCGTCTGGCACCAGTATTGTTCAACGGCGTTCCTATAGTTGTATTTGCTCTTACGAAGTCTTTACTACAACGAGTATTACAAAAGTGAGAACGAGTATTCGTTGACATCACAAAACAATTCAACAAGAAATTTATTATGACGAAATTGCAGAAAAAATAATTATTCACTGAACATATTGTAATTTACTCATTTACAAAACTAGTTCCGTTTAAAAGGTACGATGTAACAGCTAAGTACTGAGGCTACATCATATAAAAGGCTGAATTACATAGATAGCTAACATTATAGTGTAATGACTCAACAAATCCAAGTCCCTATCAGTCAAGACAATTACGTGACCGTCCAGGCTTACTTGAGCCTGGTCGTTGCCTTACATTCGTCTTGGAAGACGCACACGTGTTTTTTAGGAAAAAAAGTACATGTAAACCGGAAAATACGGTAATACTTTTTTCATTGTAGTCGTAGAAAGCGAACCTGCTTCTATAAAGGGATGCCTAGAAAAAGATAACAAATAAAAGGTGTTCCAATAACTTGAGCCTATTTTAAATAATTAAATTCAAGCGTTTAATGATTTTTTTTCTTTTTCTTTCAGATTTGGCGGACATTTGGGCGATATTATTTTTCACACATAATTTCCATGACTTAAATAATATGATCCAATAGAGAAATAAATAAATTTTCATCAATAACACTGATTTATTTACGGCTGACTTTGATCCATCTTAATGAAACACCCTTATATACAATCCGTTTTAATGAAATACACTTTATTACACTGGCCAACAAAATATCTTGATTCTCACCCTGTCGGAAGCAATTGTCTGTACTCAAAGTGAAGAATTCTCTTTCTTGTGTAAAGTTATCTCCACTAACATAAACAGAGCGACGAGTAGAGAGAGCAAATCTAGCATGTTCGGAGAAAATTTAATCACTGAAATATATTGATATCCAATATCTTGAAAAGTAGAATTAAGTCAGTCAGTTATGTGGCATGCGTGATACACTCGTGGGCGATCATGTATCTTTCGATACATAACTGACTAGGCAAATTTTTTCCTGAAATAGGTTGCCATTTCTTTCTACGGTAGACCAGTTGCCATCGAAGGATATAGAACCTGGTCTATCCTGCTATTTACCCATGGCTGGAGGTGGGGGAAGAGGATTGATACCTTTCTCAAGGGAATTAGCATGTAAGTGAATGTAATGGATTCGACTGGAATTCGAACTCGACTCTCCGAATTCTCAATCCAAGCCGCTATCCATTACTCTACCGTGCCTCCCAAATACATTTTCGGATTCAGCGACTCTACCCAAAAAACCGTTCTAATGTCCCGTGCCTTTTGAAAAAATTAAATTGTTGGTCGGTATAATAATTGACATTCATTTTGACGTTCCCGATATGTAAACTCATGTTTTACTTTTTTGCTT